TTGTAATCAATTTTTTTATTTTATATATATTTTGGACTATGAGTTTGAATTTTGAAATTTATTAAATTATTTTAACATTATTAAAGAATCACTATAATTTTCTCAATAAACCAAGTGTAACTTGGTGTTTTAATAATTCGCAATTATGTTTTTATATGTAATTTGTTTTATACATTAGACCGGCCCAATTTATATGACATATGATAGTGGAATTTACTCTTCATAGTAAACAACTCTTGCTAGCCTTGTAGTCGTATCAAATTTAACAAAAATATATAATAATTAACTGTGATTTATACCGTTTCATTAGATTTTCAAAACTAAGTATTGGTGTAAATAGGTCGTGCAAATATGCAAGACCTAAACCATCGAATATTTGAAACATTATGTTGAATAAAATATAAGACATTCTTCGTATTAACACAAAATATTCATTTAAAAAGAGATTTTGATTGGTGTAATTTACAATAGATCTTGTAAATATGCAACACTAAGTAACATGGTGATGGATTAGATGTATCCGGTGTGATAGTGATTAGTGTTTAGTCTGCTAGACTGAAGGTCTTGGGTTCGATTCCCACCAGAGACACAGTTTTGACGTAACAACTAACTAACTAACTAACTAACTAACTAACTAACTAACTAACTAACTAACGAACTAACTAACTAACGAACTAACGAACTAACTAACGAACTAACGAACTAACTAACTAACTAACTAACTAACTAACTAACTAACTAACTAACTAACTAACTAACTAACTAACTAACTAACTAACTAACTAACTAACTAACTAACTAACTAACTAACTAACTAACTAACTAACTAACTAACTAACTACCAACTAACTAACTAACTAACTAACTAACTAACTAACTTACTAACTAACTAACTTACTAACTAACTAACTAACTAACCAACCAACTAACTAACTACTTTGGCAGACAAACTAACTTTTTTAAATCAATGACCTTTTACTTAAAATTAAATTCTTTTTGGGGAAATCAGATTTTTTATTACAATCCAATTTTTCACTAAAAATCACTTAAAATTTAAGTTTTCACTAAAAATACAGATTTTTACAAAAAATTGTATTTTTTTTTTTTTTTTGTTAAATTTTCACTTAAAGATCTAATTTATGACTAAAATTTACACTTTAAATAAAAATCATTGTGTCTGTTGCAAAAAATTATTGAAATGTCTTGACATAATTTCCAGTTGTTATACAACATATTTAGTTTTTTTTTTATTTTAGAATATTTTGCTGTAAAATTTTTTGTTTAAAATTTTTTCATAAAAATAAATATTATGAGAAAACTGAATGCAAAAATGAATTTTTAAAACTATTTTTATGAAAATGTCTCACGAAATTATTGCTAACAAATGTTTCCATTTCCCATTTAGTTAGCGGTGTTGGTGGTGGTGATGGCAAAATGTTTGAGCACAACACTACAGAAAAACTTGATGAAATGAAAATGCAAATGACGTCACACCACAAGGAAATTAGAACAATACAACCAACGCAAAAATTGTTCCTTTGACATTTATATGAAATATTTTCGTTTTGTTTTGTTTGGTTTTTTTCGCACAATAAAACTAACAACTGTAACTGACAGACTGACGATTACGATAAAAGAAAATCACAAATAATACCAATACTAATTACTAATAATAAATAATGATCATCCCCAGCGTCATTACAACCATAACAATAACAACAATAATAATATTTAATAATGATGATTATGATGATAAACGCACAAAACAAATAATTGTTTTGTTTTTATTTTTTTTTCATAATGTAAAAAAATAAAACCAAACAAATAATTATGAATTTCTAATATTGATGAAGAGACAGCAACGACGAAAGACAACAACAAACATTTGTTAATATTTTGTTGTTTTTGCACAATACAGTGAATAACAAAAGCGATATGATTTTTTTTAACCAATTTAAAAAGGGAACGAAGAAAGGATATAATAATAAACTTTACCCATCACTGGTGCCATACAAATTAAAAATCTTGTCAATGATGTACCCGTACTGTGTATACATGACAAGCCTGTAAGGTGAAGGAGGAGGTGGAGAAAAATTAAAAAAAATTAATAATAAAATCATATTACATTGTTGTTATCTGAAAATGAGAAAATCCAACAAGGATCACTCCTCAAAGATGGATATTTTTTATAGTAAAGGCATTCACTTATGATACATTTTGTTGTCTTTGTAAATTTCATAGATAGATTACTCAAATTTTAATTAATGCATCATATTTTAAAAATATCAGCTCTATTAAGTCCATGCTGACTTGGTAAAACTAAAATTTTCAGTATGTTTAGCTCGAACTGGTTAAATCTACATCCTATTTAAGTTTGGAAAAAATTTATATATAGTAAACATAATTAATTATTTCCCTGATATAACTATATCAAAATTTTAACTCAGCAACAATAAAAAAAATTCCTATCACCACCGATTTTTATCGACTTCCGACACGAGTTTTCATTTAAAAACAAACAGAAAAACTTATTTCGTTTATCAGGTGACAACATCTGAGAATGTGAACCATAACATAATCGTCAGAATGCAACTTTTAATCAAGTAAAAATATAGAGCAAAGTGGAAATTTTATAAGAGTTATTAAATAATATTTTCTTAAAAATTCTTTAATATTAATAGAAATATGTTAAGTCAGCGTGGTACGCTGTATCTTTATAACGCAATTTAAGATTTAAATATTATCTGATTAAATAATATATAAATGCTTTTGACGACGTGACTATATGCAAGTCTACTAAACTAGCCTACCAGGTTTAATTTTATTTTGAAGGTCATAAAGAAATCTTTAGGGAAATATTCATGTTTTTTAATAAATTTTAGGCCGTTTCAAATATGTATACTCTATATTTTTTCTCTCAATTTCCACTTTTCCTACATTTTCCAATTTTCCGGTATAAAACAAGTCTAATAGAGGGAGTTTTTCAGGCCCTATCGCCAATAAAAGTGAAATTTTTGTTCCCTTGAAATTTTCATTTCATTCGAAATTACTATCGTGAACATGCCGAATACAATTCATTCTATAGTCTAGTCTATAGTCTAGTCTATAGTCTAGTCTATAGTCTAGTCTATAGTATAGTCTATAGTCTAGTCTATTGTCTAGTCTATAGTCTAGTCTATAGTCTAGTCTATAGTCTAGTCTATAGTCTAGTCTATAGTCTAGTCTATAGTCTAGTCTATAGTCTAGTCTATAGTCTAGTCTATAGTCTAGTCTATAGTCTAGTCTATAGTCTAGTCTATAGTCTAGTCTATAGTCTAGTCTATAGTCTAGTCTATAGTCTAGTCTATAGTCTAGTCTATAGTCTAGTCTATAGTCTAGTCTATAGTCTAGTCTATAGTCTAGTCTATAGTCTAGTCTATAGTCTAGTCTATAGTCTAGTCTATAGTCTAGTCTATAGTCTAGTCTATAGTCTAGTCTATAGTCTAGTCTATAGTCTAGTCTATAGTCTAGTCTATAGTCTAGTCTATAGTCTAGTCTATAGTCTAGTCTATAGTCTAGTCTATAGTCTAGTCTATAGTCTAGTCTATAGTCTAGTCTATAGTCTAGTCTATAGTCTAGTCTATAGTCTAGTCTATAGTCTAGTCTATAGTCTAGTCTATAGTCTAGTCTATAGTCTAGTCTATAGTCTAGTCTATAGTCTAGTCTATAGTCTAGTCTATAGTCTAGTCTATAGTCTAGTCTATAGTCTAGTCTATAGTCTAGTCTATAGTCTAGTCTATAGTCTAGTCTATAGTCTAGTCTATAGTCTAGTCTATAGTCTAGTCTATAGTCTAGTCTATAGTCTAGTCTATAGTCTAGTCTATAGTCTAGTCTATAGTCTAGTCTATAGTCTAGTCTATAGTCTAGTCTATAGTCTAGTCTATAGTCTAGTCTATAGTCTAGTCTATAGTCTAGTCTAGTCTATAGTCTAGTTTATAGTCTAGTCTATAGTCTAGTCTAGTCTATAGTCTAGTTTATAGTCTAGTCTATAGTCTAGTCTATAGTCTAGTCTATAGTCTAGTCTATAGTCTAGTCTATAGTCTAGTCTATAGTCTAGTCTATAGTCTAGTCTATAGTCTAGTCTATAGTCTAGTCTATAGTCTAGTCTATAGTCTAGTCTATAGTCTAGTCTATAGTCTAGTCTATAGTCTAGTCTATAGTCTAGTCTATAGTCTAGTCTATAGTCTAGTCTATAGTCTAGTCTATAGTCTAGTCTATAGTCTAGTCTATAGTCTAGTCTATAGTCTAGTTTATAGTCTAATTTATAGTCTAGTCTATAGTCTAGTTTATAGTCTAGTCTATAGTCTAGTCTATAGTCTAGTCTATAGTCTAGTCTATAGTCTAGTCTATAGTCTAGTCTATAGTCTAGTCTATAGTCTTTTAATTTTTCATGCCTGGTCTAAAAAGTATACAAGCCAACAGGGACCCAATATCTTCAACTGATTTTATATAATTTTAAATAATTTTTTTTTTTTGGGCAACAATGTTAAATTATATTTTTTATATCTAATTAATTTAAATACATATTTATATACGAAAAAGAAAAACAACAAAATGAAACATAATTAGAATAGAATTTATTTATAAAAATTGCACATTTTTGCAAGACCCTTTCAATCTCAAACATTTTTATTCTCATATCTCATAGTTATGAATGAAATCATTAACTAAAATTATTAGTTTTTTTTCACTAACGGAATAAATAAATGTTATTACTTAATGCGGTATATTTTGCCATTTCAATGAGTTGTTGTTTTTTTTTATATATGTATATATAATTGTTTTAACGTTAACTGGGAGAAATGAAAAGTAATCAATCTATACAACTCTACTGCGATAAGATAAAATTCTTTAAAAATCAGCACGTAGACCTCTATTTAACATTTGTTTAGAAAATATATATCGCAAAAGGTACGAAGTTTAATTTGTTAAATAGAACTTTCTTTTTTTTTAAATATTACCTTCAGGTTTTGTTTCCTTGGTTTCGTTACTAGTGGTAGCCTCCTCCATTTTGTGGCAGTTTTTCTCTTTTTAATAAGGAGCCGTTGTGTTTTAAATTTTCTTTGTTTTTTTTCTTAATTTTATTTTTCTTGTTTTCGTTTTTCAAAATTGTGTGTGTTTTTACAGACACACAACAGCACCCGCATAAAATTTTATTAGAAAAATTAAGAAAATGAAAAATAATTCGTTACTTTTACGTCAATCATGTATGTGATTTTTTGTGATTTTTATTTTTTTGTTTTTTTATTATTTTTGCACACATGCAAACACCATTCATCCACCATCTATAAAATAATTTTGATGACAATTTTTTTATACACAATTTAAATATATTTTTTTATTTATTTCTTTAGTATTTTGAAAATTTGTTGTTGTATTGTTGGTGTTTTGTGTATGTTAATTTTTAAAATTTATTTCACTTTTTCGTATTTTATATTTTTTTTAAATTTTATTTTCCGTTTCTTCCGTTAAATTTGTTTCTTTTGAATTTTTGTGTATATTTTATATATTTTTTTCTCTTTTAGTTATTTTTAACCAGATGATTTAATTTCATTATATATTTTCAATATTTTTTTTATATATTTATGCATATATGTACATGTAGATTTTTATATATTTATTTTGTCCAACAAAATAAATTTTTAAATAGGAAATTTTTTTTGAGCGAAAATAATAAAAGGCCACAAAAAAATATTGAAAAATATAAATTTTTATTACTATTGGTTATTATTCTATGTGATTATTTAACTAATGTGTTGTTATTCTAACGATGGTTAAAATGCTTTTACTAAATTTTTAACAAATGAAGCTTTTTGTTTGCCGTTTCTATCACGTTTGAAAATAATAAAAAAAAAGTTCTCATAACTATTTTTTTCCATACACAAACACACAACCATTCAGACACCCAGACACTGGAAAAATAACACATTTAAAGTATTTAAGTATTTAAATAATAATAATATTTTTTTCTTAAATAAATTATATTGCATGTATTTGTTTTTAAAAACTCACACATACACATACAATTGTTTACACACTGGGCTTTTCAAATAATATTCGTTATAAAGTCGTTGTTTAAAAACTCAAGTCGTTGGGAAAAAAGGTGTTTGAATCTTTTTTTTATATAATTTGCAATGATTATTGAATTTAAATTTGTTATTGTACCGGTACAAATTGCTTAAACACCTTTTCCTCTCAATGTTTCTTACACTATTACTCGCACTAATTTTGTATTTTAAAATAAAATGAAATTATTACTACACTCTTCAACATCATATTCACTATAACAGAAAGAAGTATGATGTATTTTTATTTCCGAACTGTCCCTGACTAGCAATGTTTGACAAAATCCATCGGTTTTTGTTTTTTTGGCTAATCGGAATTGTCGCTCTAACGAGTTCTACCTTCTGAATGACTAACCAAGTATTTTCGAAAGTGTGTTCCACGGTAAAAATTGTTTTCTTCTGAAAATTTAATTTGCTCCGCCACACGTCGTTCGTTTTTAGTTCACTTCGGCTCACTTTTTTTATTGCCGGCCTCTAAGACGTTCACACATACGTATACACACACAGTGACATACTCTTTTAAAGACCCCTAAGTTTGTACTGATGTGCCATCCATCCATCCATTTATCGCTCACTAAATAATAACTTGTGCGTCCGCGAATTGCTAATGTTTGCCTGCCATGATGGTTGGCACTTCAACTGTATGCTAATCAATTTAATACAAATAATACTCATTCGTATATTTGCAGTTTATTCAATTTTCTTTAAATTCTTTACTTTTCCAATTTTGCATTTTTTTTTTTTTTATTCTCAAGTCTTGTTAAGTATAGAAAATTCTCATGTTTTTTTTTTGGAATATACTAATTTAATGTTGTTGCTATCGTTTGTTTTTGTTTTCTATTGACAATTATTGTTGTAATTGGCAAGCATTGTTTCAGATGCTGTTGCTATTACTGCTGTAATTGTAAGCAATTTATTCAGATTTACTGTTACTTGAGTACCCATTCGAATTTAATTTGTTTTTGTTGTTGCTGCTGTTGTTTTATAAATAAAACGTACTTATTGTACAGTTAATAAACTGCGACACTTGACAACCCTATAGCGTCATATATGTAAATAAGTACAGTGGTCAAATAGAAAGAAACATTTTAAAGAATGTTTTTTTAGGAGAAGAACATCGTGTCCTTCCCTTTGCAATACAAATAAATCTTCGGTCCGTACATCTAGTCTTTTTGTCGTATTACTGTAAAGCCTGTAGGGAATCTGGCTAATTTTATAACTAAACCCCATATATTTTCCTTTTCAGAAAAGAACTCTAAACATATTTAAATTTATAGAAATTATTCCTCTAAATGCAGTATATTAGTATGACCGATGTTTTGTAGCCCTCAGTTCAAAAACCCCGAATTTTGGATTATACCAGTCTTGTACTAAATGACCCATATGTATTCCAATGCAAAAAAACATATTTCAAGGCCAAGAACAAATCGACGAAATTTCTGATACCATGTTCTGAACAAATAGTAGTGCAACGGGGTAATATCAGGAAAATAAGGCTGGACTTTGATCTTAATAGACTTGCAACATGACGCCGAGCGTTGTCGTTTTTGAAAACAACATGGCCCAAAGCCTGCATTACATAAGACCATGTTGCGGATCATGTACTCCCATAATTTAAGCAAGGGACTAGTTATGGATTAGGATTACTGCGATGGATTACGGGGTCCTCACCTAGGACATTACAATGTTAAATGAAGTATGTTTTTTCAATATATTTGGATTAGTTTTGGACCAGTCCTAGACCTTTGAGGAGTACTATTTAAACGCGTTTGCGGAGTAGTCTCAATTTTGCTGGGATTTAACCATAATTGACCCTACCCCCATATAAGGTCCCCTACAGAAAATGACTTCAACGCTCATAACTGCATTAGTAATACCACTATAGTGACGAAGTTCAACATTATCATGTTTTATAGAAACGAAAATTTTTCTACTAAATTTGATGAAGATTACTCCATAGTTGCCCCTACCTCCCATATAATATACCCTTAATGATTTCCATATAAAGTTAAAAAAAATAGTTTTCTGTTCTGGCCTAAGTTAAGATTTCGCAAACGTGAAACATGCCAATAAATATCTACAAATGTTATCTTTTGCCAATGGAGCGTATGAGCAATATGGCTTTATTATTTAATTACATAATATGTATATTATCGAGTCCCTTTGTCATTGTAGCGTATGAGTAATTTGTACTAACGTGAATTATATAACAAGTATACTTAGAGAGAATACATACACAGAAAAAACTGAAAAACGATTTCAATTACCAAAACCTCGTTTTTAATTATTTTATTTTTTGAAGTTCAACCTATAACAAAAATTGTATATTCAATTACTATTTATAATTGATTTCGTACACAAAATTTTTATTTTTTTCTATTTTTGTTGTTGTTAAATACGTATTTGATTATACATTTTTATGAATCAAATACAAAATGAATTGAACCCTTTTAAAATTTTTGATTAATCGTTTAATTGAAAATTTTTTAAAATTAATTTTTTCTGTGTACAAACATATTTGAGTAAAACATCAAAGTGAAAACAATTTATTTTCAAAATTATATTTCACTTTTCTCTCAAATATTCCCACTGTACTCAAAGTCTATATGCATGTAGTATGTAAATCTGTATTTTTTTTTGGTTTTATGGCGAATGTGTGCAAAAGTTTGCATTTACAATGAAGTAATTTATAAACAATAAAGTAAATTAGAAACATTTTAAATAAATAGTTCTTTAAGGGTACCTAAACATACGTACATACATACATACAAAGATAGATGGCAGAACGTAAATAAATAGTACACACAATTAATGAAAATGTAACATTTAAAGATATTTTTATCAATTACATATGGACAGAAAAAAAAAATACACACATATATCGACAATTTGATAAATACAATACATACGAATGCATACACATACATACATATGTGTACATATATACATAAGCAAGAAAGAAAAAAATTGTTGCCAAAAATACAATTCGAAAAACGTCTACGAACTCATTCAACTTATTGACATTTTATTTTGTGTTTAATTAAAATTAGATTTCAGTTTAAATTTTCTTTTTAAAAAAATAACAAAATCTTTATACAAATTAAGGCAATTAATATAAAACTCTGTTTAAATGCCTAAAAATATGCAAAGTTCATAATAAATATATCGATTTATATCTTTATAATAACAACAATTTTACTATAGGTTGTGATTTATTTTTCTTATGTTTGCTTTAGTTATTATTGTTTGTGTTAACGAATACTAATAATAAAAAAGGGAAAATGTTAGCACCTTTTGTAATTAAAGGCATTGTTCACCTGTGTACTTAGTATACGTGGCCGTGGTGTACGTCTCGTGAAACCTCGAAAAGCGTGTTGTTTTCTTTCTTAGCTAGACTTTTGAAATCACATATCGATTTATTAATTACTTATGAGGTCATCGATATTAAGGAAGAAAATAATGAAAACTGTTCTTAAGGAAACAAAAATTATAACTAAAAACGAATAAACCTTTAAATTGAAACTAGACAACATTGAAAAACGTGTGCTGGATTACTTGGTTTCTTGAACAACAAGGACACTAGTCACATGGCCTTTTTCTATACAAAAACACACACTTATCCCTAAATGACATAAATACAAACATACATTGACATTCACATAAAAAATACAATGATTTTATTTTTTATACCCGCCTTTTGAATTCTACTCACTCCTTAATTTTTTTTATAATAATTTTGGTTTACTGCTAAAAAAATGTTTTCCACTATTTATTTGTTACAATTTCCGTTTCCTGTTTTATTTAATGATGTCAACACTTTTACACTAATTACTTTTCTTTTAAATTATTATTTATTTCTTTGTTGTTCTTTTTTTTTTTTTTTTGATGATTATAATTATTTTGACATCATGTCACTGTAAAAGCCTAAAACTATTTAAATTGGGTTTCACTTTATATTTACCCGGCGTATGATGTTAATGTTGCTTTTGATTATAATGGGTTTTTCTTTTCGTCGTAAACCACCGGTAAAATTCTACTTACAACACACTGTAGAGTCATGCGCAATTTGTATTATTGTTGATTTTTCTTTGTAAGTGCAATGGAAAAAATATAAAAAAATACAAATTTAAAGTGCATCTTTTTTATCAGTTTAGTAGTTGGTCTTTTTATCATGATTATCGCCGTCATCATGATTGGCATTGTCTCTCTATATATGCTTATTTTTCATATGGTTTATTCACCCATTCTAAGGGTGTTTCACTTGTTTTCTTATTTTTTTTTTTCCATTTTATCCTCTTACAAGATTACAAAACATTGTTATTCATTGTTCTTTTAGCAAATATTTACATTTTGCATTTTTATGTTGCACACAACATTGTCTGAATAGATTTTTATGTTGGCATTTTTGAATCACTTTTTAGAACAAGTTGTTTCTTTTTAGCTGATTCACAGCATGTATGCCCATTTATGTTCGTTTGAATGTTCAAGTTCATTATCATATGCGGCAGTTATTAGGACTTGCTGCCGCAAAGTTAATGTTGCAAAAAGTTCAATTGCAAGAATGCAAATAAACTTCATTTCTTTCAATAAACGACGCCTTTATGAATTAGTGAGAACGCAGGAATATGTTGGACCTAAAAGATCTTAACAAAAACTTTACAAAATCGGAAAAAAGTCTTAAGTATTTGGAGATATGAACTAAATCCTGGATCGGTCCAAAGCTTCCATATAAAATGTTTTCCAGATTGGCCTATAATTGGCCAAAGCTCTCATATCAAGTCCTTATGAAAATCACTTAATCGTTACCATTACCATAACCCATTACTGATATCGCGATAAAATTAGGCGATACACGAGTATGTTATGTATATACAAATCAATGAGTGACATTTTTTCCGGATCGGTCTATAATTGACCATTGCTTCCATAAAAAGCCCTAATCTGAAAATTACTTAATCGTAAATAACTCATGAATTAATAATGAAATCGGAATAAAATTCGACTCAAATATGTTTTGCGTACATTCAAATGATTCTCCGAAAGTTTTTTTCCGGTAAAAACCTTTAATACTATCTATCTATCTATCTATGTATATGTCTATCTATCTATCTATCTATCTATCTATCTATCTATCTATCTATCTATCTATCTATCTATCTAAAAAATCAGATCAAACATTCAAAATTTGAAAGAAAATTATGTAGATTTTATGACCAATTTTAAATTTACATAAATCTGAAAATATTTTAAACAAAAATTATCAGTTTGGAGGTGTTATAAAGGTTAAAATACTGTAATGTGTGTTACTTTTTAAATATTAATTCAAATTATGGACTTCGACCACCTGTTGGGTAAGTGATTCTATATTTTTACATATACTGTATGTTAGTGCTTACTAAACACATCTCACTAAACAACAGAGCAGCCATATTGTTTAAAACATTAAGATCATTATTAAATATTAATTTGTATTTATATTAAAATTAGTTGTCAATTATGTTGAATGATAGAATTAAGCAAATTAATTGCTTAATTTCATTATTAACAAAAAAGTTTGTATTATTTAATACAAATGATTTATTTTTCTTAATTTTAAAATCAAAAATTATTTTTTTTAAACCATATGGCAACACCAATATGTTAATGATCAAGTGTTAGATAATCTTATTTTTTATTTTCCCTCGCAGTGGGAGTAGGAGTAGAAACATTTCCTTTATTATTATTAATTAAGTAGAAGTAAAGAAAGAAAGTAAACATGTCTTTACGTTTGGCCGCAAAGTCCTTGGGTAACCATTTGACCCGTAAGTTAATTGTTGCTCCTCAAAGTGCTGTTGCCTCAAGATGCATGTCCCACTATCCCATCAATGATCAGATTTTTGGTTTGGATGAGGAAAAGCAAAAATTAAGAGAAACAGCCTTTAACTTTTTCCAAAAAGAATTGGCTCCCTTCGCCAAGGATATTGATAAGAATGACGATTTCCCGTAAGTTTTAGTTTAAGAGCCGGAATATTAAGTAGGAAGTAGTGAGCATGTGAAAAATGTGTTTTTTAAATTTTTATAGAGAAATGCGCAATTTCTGGAAGAAAATGGGCGATTTGGGTTTCTTAGGTATTACAGCAGAACCTGATTATGGTGGAACTGGTGGCACTTACTTGGATCATTGCATTATTATGGAAGAAATTTCAAGGTAAGTAAAACGATTTTTCCTTTATAAAAGAATAATTACTATTATTCCATTTACAGAGCTGCTGGCGGTATTGCCTTATCCTATGGTGCCCACTCCAATTTGTGTATTAACCAATTGACTAAGAATGCTACTCCTGAACAGAAAGAACAGTATTTGCCTAAATTGTGCAGTGGTGAGCATATTGGAGGTTTGGCCATGTCTGAACCTGGTGCCGGTTCTGATGTTGTTTCCATGAAACTGAAGGCTGAAAAGAAAGGTGACTACTATGTCTTGAATGGTACCAAATTCTGGATCACCAACGGCTCTGTGGCTGATACTTTGATTGTATATGCCAAAACTGGCACTAGTCCCGCCGATGGTCATGGTATTACAGCTTTCATTATTGATACCGCCTCCGAGGGCTTCAGTGTGGCTCAAAAACTCGATAAATTGGGTATGCGTGGCAGTCCCACTTGTGAACTTGTTTTCCAAGACTTGAAGGTACCAGAAAAGAATATTTTGGGTAAAGTGAATAAAGGTGTGTATGTGTTGATGTCTGGTTTGGACTTTGAACGTCTTGTATTGGCTGCCGGTCCAGTAGGTTTAATGCAAGCTGCCATTGATACCTCATTCGAATATGCCCATCAACGTAAACAGAAAAAAATTATTGCTGAATTCCAACTTATGCAAGGAAAAATGGCCGATATGTACACCACCTTGAGTGCCTGCCGTTCTTATTTGTACAGTGTGGCTCGTGCCTGTGATGCTGGACACAATAGCTCTAAGGATTGCGCTGGAGTTATTTTGTATTGTGCCGAAAAGGCCACACAAATTGCTTTGGAAGCTATACAAATTTTGGGCGGCAATGGTTATATCAATGAATATCCCACTGGTCGTATTATGCGTGATGCTAAACTGTATGAAATCGGTGCTGGTACCTCCGAAATTAGACGTTGGCTCATTGGTCGTCAATTGAATTTGGAATACAAGTAGATTACAACGATCCTGTTAAATAACTAGATTGTTTTTACAAAGTTTATTATTGCATTTATATACATGTATGTATTTTTATATAGTTCAACTGCATTTTTTTATACTGGTGATACTTTATGACATATTGCATTTATTTTCATATTTTATTTTTTTATTGGTAATTTTTATATAAACAATATACCGACCTATCTATACATACAAATAATAATCATGTACTTTTAAAGTAACCTAAATAAATATATATTTTTTAATAAATCTAGCAAAAAAGAAAATATAACTGTCTTTGTTCTCTAATATTTGGCTGTATAAAGTAACAGTTTCTCATTTCTCAGTTTCTCTGATAATAAAATTGATTGCATAACTTCCGAAAAATTGTCTATAATCAATGTGACTCATTTAAATATTATACATATTCAAATCATATATAATTAAATGCATGGGGTGTGAACAGAAGTCAAGTTAGTTAAAACAAGAATCAAACAATAACGTTTTGTTTTGTAAATAGCTGTATTTGTTTTAATTTAGACCAATAACTAGCAATTTGATTTTGAAAGAAACCTGTTTGTTTTAGGATACATATGTTGAAATAGATTCTGATTAGTTGGTAGAGTATCCAAAGAACGGTTTCTATTCGATTTTAACTGACTAACCATTTCTTTTAGTAGGCAACTTTATATTTCATTCTGCAAAAACTTTCGTTTTTTTGACGCAATTTTCATCGCAGACAAGTTTAATTAACACAAAGCAATAATAATTTTATTTTATTAATACATTATTAGATTGTTTATTAAACCAATTATGTATATTCAATGGGTGGTTAAAAATAATACCACGAAGGAGGTATAGAAGGAAGTTTAGGAATTATAACCATACGTACGTAGACAAGTACAAATATTAGTTCATAGGCTACTAGTCTATAGCCTAGACCATATAATAGTTTGCAAAACAGTCAATAGACTAATCAATTAAATAATAACTAGTTCAAGGAATAGCCATAGATTAGTCTATAAACTAGCCAACAGATTATTGCACATACTATTCAATAGACTTGTGTACATAGTAGTAAATAAACTAGTTAATAGCCTAGCCCTAGTCCATTCCTGGTTGACATTATAAAATTAGTACATACTAACTATCTAATTCTGGAACCGAATCACATCATTTGTAATGGAATAATGATTTCACAGTTTCTTACTTTTTGCATAATATTTTATCAATTTTATAAATTTGTATATAACTTTAAACTTTAATGTTAATGTTTTTTGTAGTTTGCTAATTTTGGCGCGACGGCATTATTGAAATAAATGAGGGCAGCAATCTCCATTTCACTCACAATCTCAAATCAAAACTTTGGATGCAATTTGCCAAGCAAACTTCTGAGTGACTCATGGAGATTGCTGCCTTTGTTTCTACCATTGCATATGTAACTCTCGAGTTGCATATACAAATGTATGCAAAAATATATTTTGAGTACTTACCTAACTATTAGCTATTATAATCTTGCAAATAAGAAATATTTAACGATTTTTTAAAAATTTTTTGGTTACAAGACATATTTATTATTAATTAATATTATTTATTTATACACAATGAAAAAAAAAACATAAAAAATACATACAAACATGTAAGTATATAAAATGTTGGCATACATAAACCAGAAATTCAGATGTATATGTATATACAGAAAAAAATATATAGACATTCATTCCACCTTCGAATCAATCAATGTCTATATGTATAAAAAATAATTCATAATTGGCTTCAGTTAAAATTATACATATAGAATCATTATGTTAAATTAAAATGACATTAAAAAGTTTAAATAAACATGCATGTAGCTAACACAAAATAAACTAAAATTTAAATAATTATTAATACAAATAGATTGAAATTTAAAATCAAAGAAAAAAAAATACATTTTAAATGACACAATACAATATTAATTATATTATTTGTTTAGATTTATCATAGTTATGTATATTTTAAGTTTTAGTTTAATTAGTATAATTATTAGAAAAAGTTAGTAAAATAGTATTTTTATGTTTTATCAATTATTAGTATTAGTACATTCAAATTATTGGCAAAAACATTGGCATTACAATGTATGTTTGAAAAAAATAATAAAATAATAATCAGACCTGGGCGATTTCCATTAATTTTGCATTAACATTAAATTAAACAAAAATTAATTTAATGTAAAAAATATTGCATTAACATTAAATTTGTAAAATTTAATGCATTAAATTTCCATTAACATTAAATATTTTTGAATTTAATGCATTAATTTTACATTAACATTAAATATTTTTAAAATTAATGCATTAATTTTGCATTAACATTAAATATATCTGAATTTAGTGCATTAATTTTACATTAACATTAAATAAGCAATAAAATTAATGCATTAATATTCCATTAACATTAATATATATAAAAATTGATAAACATAAATAAAAACACAGCACAAAAGACCTCGATCTAACTAAATACAACTAAAATTAAATAGGTTAAAGTCCTTTCTAATAACTCCTATATTCCATTCAAACTTGTGTGTTTTAAATATGATATTTATATAAGATTCCACAGACAAAATAAACTAAAAAAGGAATATCTGGGAAGTGATACTATTCTTCTAATATGTATTATCGAATATAGGACTTATTAGAAAGGACTTTAACACATTCAATTTTACTTGAATTTAGTTAGACCGAGGTCTTTAGCGCTGTATTCTTATTTTTATAAATTATTTTATACATTAATGTTAATGGAAAATTAATGCATTAATTTTATTATTTATTATTTAATGTTAATGGAAAATTAATGCATTAAATTCAAAAATATTTAATGTTAATGCAAAATTAATGCATTAATTTCACAAATATTTAATGTTAATGTAAAATTAATGCATTAAATTTAAAAATATTTAATGTTAATGCAAATTTAATGCATTAAATGTACCCATGTTAATGTTAATGCAATAAACTTGCATTAACATTAATTTTTTTTAATGTAGAAAAAATTGTTAATGCATTAACACATTTAATGCATTTATCCCAGGTCTGATAATAATTATGATTTATATAGAATTATCGTAAACTAATTTGTTATACTTAAAAAGCACTTTTGGCAAACAGTAATTTTGTTTTATATCCTTAGTTTTTTTTTTTTGTTTTTAAAATTTATTTTAAGTTAAACTATTTTATTTCCATTCCTCTTAGTCCATGCGAAAACTGTGTGATTCGGTTTTCTTTTCTGTTCTTGTTTCTGAGGTGGTGGTGTATGATTTACGTTCCATAACACGTTGAGTCATTGAGGTTAAACGTTCGGATCCCTGATCAATGAGACTGATTTTACCGGACTCGGTATTAAGGCTCATTTGATTGAAGCTGGACTCTAAGGGTTTTACTCCTAACTCACTTGATTTATCATAATTACGAGTTTCGTATCTGAAATTGAAAATTATTATTTGATTTTCATTTGTTGTCGGAATAGATTCCACGTTATCAATGCTTACCTTGAGGTATAGCCTTCATAATTTTGACCAGGATATGTATTACTGCTTGTTATTTGCACAACGCCACCCTGTCCAAAGGTTTTGTCGTGTAAATCTTGTACACAGGCTTCTAAATTACGATTGACCTGATGATTGAGGTTCGAGGAGCCGGCTGTATGCTGTTGTTGAGAAGTGACAGTGGATTTTAGTGATGCAGATTGTTCAAAGTTCTGTGAATATTTATTAGTAGGTGTTAGAGGACTACTGGGTTGTGAGAGACGACCACCACCGTTAGTACCACTGGCTGTCACCGGACTGCCGGGATAGGGACGTGGTACGGCATTGGCGGTTAGTTTGGGATTAGATCTAAAGGTATGAGTGGCGGTTTGCATATTAGAAATAGTAGTAGACAAGGGAGGAGGAGGTGGTGGGAAGGCAGTTGTATCATTGTCCAACTGGCTGTGATTCATGGGTGGTGGGGAGACGGCACCTGGATGATGGAAGTGTTGTGGATTTGTGGCATAATTGTAATGATGTTTCGATTGTTGTTGTTGCTGTTGACTCATATAACTTGGTGATGCAGGTGCCTCCATTTGACCATAGAAGCCCGAACGATTAAGTGTCTAAATTTGAAATAGAATTATGAAGTTGTTTTTGTTAGTTCGACATGGTTAATTTGTTAACACAATTTACAATTTTAAACAAAAAACTACACTATGATTTGTTCTCGCCCGCTGTCGGTGTTGTTTGTTGTGAAAAGGAAGGGAGACATTGAACATAGAATTATACAAATATTTCAACTTCCTTAAGGGAAGTCATAATGTTAAGATTATTAAATAAGAATTAGCTATTGATTTAAGTAGTTGGTTATTGAAATTTCTACAAAACCTACTAGAACCCTGTATTAGTTTTTCTACACCAATTTTTTGTATTAGGGATTATTTGAAATAGAAAAATATGTGAAACCTGGATTTTGGAAAATAAATTTTGTTTGGAATACTTTAAGTCTGTGTGTATAGAAAAACTTCTTAAAACATAAATACGTGTACAAATAGTTTAAACATTATTTAAGATATTTAAATATAAAAAATATAATCATACATTGTTGTGACTCTTGTTAAGAGTTCCATAAGCAGATTGAGCATATTCCGAATCACTTTCATCGGTGGTGAGACCTTGAACATTCTTTTGACGCACTTTGCGAATTAGTACGAGTTTTTGGCGGGCTTCTTCAAGTTGTTTCTCCATACGCAAAACATCCGAACGAGCATTGATTTCTTGGGCCATACCATCTACCATGGAGGTGTTAATTTTCAAAGTACGCTCCTCTTCAACTTCCAGACCCTGTTGGGCAGCTCTAACCAAATTATCGGTGGATTTGATGACAGCATTACCAGCTGCTTGTAAACGGCGACCTGCCTCAGAGTTGGGATTCGATTTGACCTTACAAGCAATAAGCAATTGGGCAGTGGAAGCAGCCACTTGTTTAGCAGTTGATATTAACATTTCTTCGGTGCCCACTCCTCTGACCAAATTCTGAGCCGCTTCCACTAGACTGTGGGTAGCAGCTGCAACTAAACGTGCAGCAGATATTAAACCTTCAGACCATTGGCCATCATCGGAGGAGGTTAAGGGACGTTTAGCTACTTTGCCTTGATCAATAAGTTCTCGTTGGGCAGCATTGGCAGCTCTTACCAAGGCAGACGAGGCAGCCATAATACCTTTAGCAGCTTCCAAAATCATTTCATCGAACTTCATGTTTTGATCAAGTTCAATCTAAAGGGAAAAGAGAGCAAACAACAAAAGTATATTGTTAAAATCAGTTTTTATTATTTAATTAGGAATTTGTTAAACAATTAGAATTGTTAATTGTATGTATAATTAATATAATTGATGATTTATGTTATTGTTAGTTGTTTTAGAGATTAATCACAGTAATAATATGTTTGATTCCTGGGTGAAAGTACAATTATAACAACCAAGAATATCAAACATATCTTACTGGAACTATCAATCGGATTTTGAAGGTTAAGACGACAGCTGGAGTAAAATAGAAGCACATTCACAAAACACCACATATTTTTTTAAGAAATACAATACATATGTATGTTTATGTATAAGGATTAAACGCATTAAAATGGAGATTAATATTTACATGATTTGAGTTTAATTATTAATGATTTACAAGTTGTTTTTATTATTTTTTGCACCAAGCACCACAATATGAAAGTAATATGAAATGTAAACAAACTCACCTTAACATCATCATTACGTCTAGGACGTAGGGAAGCCAATTTTTTAGCAGCCGCATCGATGGAAGCAGCAGCACCTAATAGTTCATTTTCTGCTATTACTGTAGGATCTTCAGGATCAATCCAATCGGATCCCTTTAGAAGACGTGCCATAGCTACCATATCTGTTACACATTTTGCAACACGTCTTGATAAATGCATACGATCATCAGCCGAACAGTTGTGTAAAATGCCATTGAGTAGTTCACGATAGGATTCACCTACCGCAGCACCAGCCTCCAAAGTCCGTTGTCTTAAATCATCGGTTTCAGCACAATTCCAGGCCACCGAACGACAGACCAACAACATTTCCGATATCGAACGTCTACCCAAATTTGCAGCCGTCATAATGTCTTCTTGCAAATTGGAAGCACCAGCAGCAACAGCCTTAGCTGTGGCCAAAGTAACACTCTTTGTGACACGTATCAAATCCTCAGGACCTACTTGAGCACTGCCGGCTGGTGGTGGTGAGTGCATAGCCTTTAAAATTAATAAAGAGGAAATTAAATTTTGTTTTTTTTTTTTTTTTTTAACAAGAGATCTTGTTGTTTAAAACTTACTCTAATTTCTTGTGATATGGCTTCAACAGTGGATTCCATGGCCCTTGTACCACGTGTGTGTTCATCCTCCACAGCTTTGACGGTTTTCAATAGTGACGAAACATTCAAAACCATTACCTAATTTGTGCGTTTTTTGCAAAAAATGTTCATTTTATTGTTTGTGATTTGTTTTCTATTAAAATATTTGAGCTAAAGACAAACATTATCTAACTACTTTAGTGTAACGTCGTTATATTTATTGGTATGTAAATATGGCCGATTTTACATACTTGTTTAACGAGGTATAAAGACTTCAAACACTTTTCAAAAAAACCAGTAAAAAATGAATAGATAACTTTGTTTTCAAATCGTTTCATTTTTATTTATTTCAAGTGACAAAGATTAATAGATGCTGTAGTTTTTATATGAAAAAAAAAAACGACTAGATTATCCGAGTGTTGTACTTTTGATGTAAAAAACTATAAATTTAATATGGCTTTTCTTTTACAATATGTCACTTCAGAGGTTATTTGTTGAAAATAGAAAACTTGTTAATGTCAATTAAATTCTAAATTGTATTAACATAAATAAGAATTTCGTATATTTCAATTATTTTTCAAAGTAAAGATTAATTGTGCAAGAAATTTGTTTACGTTTTGTCAATGTTTAGTTATTAGAAGTTATAAGACTGTCCGAAGTTTTGTTTGAAAAACAAATTTAATTTCTTTCCTATTTTTTAGATTCTATCATCCACAGCATCTTTAATCATTTGTTTAACCAAAGCTAAACGGTGTACAAAAATTGTAATATGTAATCTAAATCTAATTAAGTGTATCGTTAAGCATTAAACATAGTATTTATGTAATGTAAATGACATTATGAAAGTTATGGCAAAACAAACAAAGTGATTTAAAATTTTCGTAAATTTGTTCTTTTTTGTTTTTTTTTTTTTTTTTGAAGACCTAATTATTTTTGCGTTCCAAAAATAAATGTTATCAAGATGGCATTTTATGTATATATATTTTTTTTTTGTATGGAGGAAACAAATAGACAAAAGACACGCTCAATATCCATAGTTTGATGATTGCTGGCTTATGTGGTTAGTTTCGATAGCGGCAGATTTGCACAATTCTTTAAGCGTCTGTATAACAAACAAATTGAAACAAGAATAATGAAATAAAAAAAATAAGAATTTTAAAATCAAAATCAATTTCAGATGATATACATGTCAATTCAATTCTTTTTTATCATTAAAGAGTGCTAACAAAAACGTTAATAATTTTGAAAAATGCCGAATAATTTAAAATTTTTCATAAATAGAAGGAAATTGTTAAAAAGAAAGAAATCTGTACAGGAGTATAACAATAGAAGAAGAAAGATAGCAGTAGTAGTACGAGTAAATAAAGGTAGAATAGTAGTAGTAGTAGTAGATGGTAATAGGAGTAAAACATAAGCAGCAGCACCAGCAGAAATTGCGTAAAAAGATTACAGACAGCCCAAACCTTCAGCCTTCAATGAAATGCTTTATTTATTTATGTATTTTTTATTTTGTTTAGATACACAGCTGTTAGATATTGCCTAAGAAATGTTGTTAAAATTCCAAACTCTTTTTAGAGAGCGTCATTTTGAAAACCCTTAGTCGTAATTAAAAACAAAACAAAAACTTTGTGTTAAAAAAATAGTACAGACATTGATGGCAAATTTTGTTGTTGTAGTTGTTTTAATGATTTAATTTTATGCGTGCGCTAGTGATTCTATAATAAATTAGTGTAAATTTAAAAGAAAATTTTGTGATATAAAGCCATACTCGCTCGAATTGTAAGAAACATTTACATAAAAAGTCTTTAATACCAAATAGGGGTAGTGCAAAAGTACCATTTTAATACCTTTTTTCATATATAAAAAAAATAAAAAATAAAGAAAAACTGGTAAATGATTATTATATTTAAATTAAACAACCAGTGAAAATTGGTGAAAATCAAAATCACGACATTTAAAGCGTTACACTTAAGTAGTTTGTTAAGCTTTTTTAAGTAAAGGGTTTATTCTTACAAAACAATTATTCAGTTCAGTTTTAATCTTAAAAAAACCCTTTAATTTAAAGAAACCAAACGGAAGCGGAAATACTTACCCTGGCACTTTCTTTAAGGTCTTGCATAGAGGGATCATTAATGGGTTTGCCGGAAGCCAATTTAGTGGCATTGATAAGGTCGCCCAAAGCAGAGGCCACATCTTTGACAGCATTAATGACCATGACTTGCGAATCTGGTTGGGTAGAACCCAAAGAACAGGCTCCATGTTTAACAGCTTCAGCCAATTGCACTTTTATACCAAATAAACACTAGTTAGATTTCGAGAAGTGTTAGTTAAGATTAGTGACACTTACCTATTGTTGTGACGGCATTTTGTGCAGCATTTGCCAACTGATCTTGTGTACCAGCAGCTCCTGTGACTAAAACTTTAGTGTCTTCTACCAAAGCTTTAGCTGTTTGCAAAATATGCTCACGGTGGTCGGCAAAGCTGCTCGAGCTATCCGAATGCAATGTACCAGCAGTGGCAAACATAATTGTAGTGTCTAAATCACCAATAATGCCTGAGATGGTGTGGGCGGCATTGATGCAGGCCTGAGTACCACGAGAACCTGCTTGCAAGGCAGCCAAAACTTGTGCTACTTTCTCAGAAACTTCGCGGGCATTGCGAGATATTTCATTTTGATGGGCCGAGTCTCCAACACGCGCACCGCCTGCACTGGTTTGAATCATTGAACTAACAGAACGTCCCAAATCAATAACAGTGTTTCTAATGCGCATGGCCACATCTGGTGAAGTGGTGGTAGTAGAAGCTCCTACAGAATCTTGTGTTAGCTGGGTATATTGTTTAGCCATTTCAACCGCCAATTGAGGCATAAGTTGTGGTTCTACTGAGGATTTGGCATTGGTTTCATTTGCCAATCTAGCGATTTCCTTAGCGGTTTGAACCATACGTGTTTGATAGTCCACAAAAGTATCGGAATAGGAAGCGTTCAATAGCGATTGACGTTTGTCTGTTAAACGTGTGATGGCACGGTTTACTTGCTCCATGAGACCGGTTACAATACCGGTTTCGGCATTAATCTTCTCTACAGTTTGGTTAAGTTCTTGTATGGCTTCACGGGTATTTTCAATGGCTTCATCGAGTCTGGGATGAGCATGGAGGGCCTTGGGATTACCAGCTGATTCCTTAGCAGCCTGAACCAAGTTTTGGGCACTTTCCACAACAGACTTTGTTTGATTTATTAGACTCATTTGTTGATTGGTGTGAACGATGTGTGTACAGGCACCAATGCCTCCATTAACCATGGGCACTACATAGCGAGAAATTTCTCCCACAGCATGCCCCAATTGCTCAGCATTGTTTTTGCCAGCCAAACGAATTGGTTCTAATTTATCCAAAAGTTCGGCGGCAGAATTTAATGTTTGACCTGAAAAACCATGTAGATTGTTGTCGCGACGCTGTGATAAACCTTGAGCATTTACAGCCATGGCGCAGCTGTCCAATTCACGCATGCATGTGCCCAATGTTTGTAAAACTTGATCGCATTGTGCTTGACCTGGAGCCTTTTCGCGTATGTTATCGACTAAGCGTTTAACAGATTCGGAAACTGGAGTAGACGCATTCGATAGCTTTTGCCATACTGGAGGATCGTCGGGGGACAGAGCTAAAGATTTAGCAGCCTTTACCATTTCTATAACACCATCAATTACTCCTCTGCCAGCATTTAAAACAGGTTCCTGGGCCTTTTTACCTTCGGCGGAGATTTTTGCGGGAATTGAAATGAATTCAGGACTGGAGGCGTATTGACGTACTGCCTTGACAGCTTCCAATAGAGGTTCAACTAAACGAGCTCTAGAGGGTTGAGCTGGATCGTCTTCAATAGCCTTGATTTCTTGTACAAGGTTTGAGGTAGCGGTGGCAACTTGTTTGGCCAATACGATAAATTCATTCTTGGCTACTGGATTATTGGTGTTCATGCTAGCCTGACGGCAGATGGAACACAAATAACTAGTGTGTTTGGCAATAACAGTAAGAGCCGAAATCTTTTGTTGTTTCGTTGAATGCGGACTGCTGACAACATCGCAATGTTGACGAATACCTTGATAAGCCCAGGTTAATTGAGCTTGATCGATAATACCAGGACGTCCAGCTATACTGCTAGGATGAGAAACACCGATTAAGTAAGCAGCTTGGGCCGATGATTCAATGAGTCCGTGAATGGAATCAGAAACGTTGTTAACGGATTTGGCAAATTCTGCATGATTGGATTGCTTGGCATTAGTAATCATTTCAGAGAAGGCATAACCCAAATTACGTGACTTGGCAGTAGCCGATTCGACGCAATCGAAATAACCTTGATCATTAACGGGCTCGTGGGGATAGTCCAAAAGAACTCTTAGGGCTTCAATGTTGCGTGTTGCATTGTCACACTCCTTTTGACCAGGAGCAGATTGAATACTGGCATCGACCAACTTGTTGATACTTTCGGTTACACTGCGAGCAGCGGCATGTAAAAGATTTTTAGAATTGGGTTGACCAGGATCGGCTGCAACGGACTTGGCTGTGGAAAGTAGTGAACAGGATTGTGTGGAAACATTGCGTAGACAATCAATCATTTCAGAGCGTACAACTTCATCGGGATTTTGACCAGCCATTTCCATGGATACCGAGAGTAAATCACGATAATTGGTTGCAAAGTTGCCACTTGATTCTGCCAATTGGGCAGGACTGGCATAAGACTGTACGATTTGTCCACCAGCCGAACTTAGATTTTCGGAAACTTGCTTCAGTTCTCCTTGCAAAGTGTTGTAGCTACGATTGGATGGTGGGAATTCACTCATCGAGAGAATTTCACTTAACTCGCTGACATTACGTAAGGCTTGATCAACTTCACGCTGTCCGGGAATGCAATCGACTGTTTTCGAAAGTGCTTCGGTCACGTCACGTCCAGCCTGAGTCAAAGCGCTTGGATCTCCCACATTTTGTAAAGTTTTTTGGGCCTCTTCGATAAGGCGAGCCGAACTCAACACTACATCATCAGCACAATCAATGACTTGGGCGTTGTTAGTAGTGGCAGCCACACCATGAACACTCTTTGTGAAATCACCCAATGCTAGAGCAGTATCTCTACCAGCAATGCCTGCATACATGCGTTGTCCTTGTAGAACCGAAGAAATCATACGACTCAAAGCAATTCCCACATTCTTAGCAGATTTACGTAATTGTTCGGCTGTATTTTCTACGGTCTCTCCCGGCAAAGGTCTTAAAGCACCCGACTGGGCAGCATTGCGTGTGTCGTCTAAGACATTATGTAAATTGCGTACTGCCTCCAAAGCAGATTCTAATTCTTGACCACCACATGCTTCTCTTGCTCTTTGCGCAGCTGAATTGAGTTCAGAAACAGTTTGTCCCAAGTACAAAGCACTCTTGGACAACTGTGAAGCTGCTGGAATATCTGTAACAGTGGGTTGTAGAGCACGGGCTGAACGGGACACCTGGATGGCGGGTTCAATAAATTGTTCAGCTGCCTCAATTAAATTGAATTGAGCATTGTAGTCGTCTGGATGGCTACGTGTTGTTTTCACAGCAGTTACCAAACGCGGGATAGTATCTGCAGCTCTTTTGCAGTCCTGTAATAGGGATTCCTTGGTTTGATGATCATCACTATGTTGAACAGCATTTTGAGCGGCACTTATGCATTGCGTAGCAGCTGAAGCAGCCTGTTTCGAACAGTATTCCAAGCGTCTAATTAAATTGCGTTTAATAGCAGGAGTATTGGCAGTGCTGGTAGTAATTTCGCGCAATTCTTCGGCAGCTTTACGCAAGGCATTTTGATTTTCGGTATCATGGGGATTGCTAGAACACAAACGTGCAGCTTCTACCAATTTTGCAGTAGCATCAGCCAATTGTTTGGCTGCTGAGAGAAGACGTCTTTGCATATCAGCATCTTGTTGTTGATCAGCTTCTCCCTTAATGCTTTGTATAAGTTGGGCGGTGGCTTGGCCTAAGGTCTTAGCATGTCTTACCATCTCTTGAGGATCATTGGAAGACACTAGAATATCTGTACCAATAATAACGTTTTCAACGGGACTCATTTCTTGGCTACTGCGATTGGCGTATTCGCGTGAACTCAACTTGACATGTTCCAACATGTCACTCAAACTCTTGGACACATCACGAGCTGCTGCCAGCAAGTCATTCTTTAACTTGGGATCATTAGTGGCTTCATTGCATACCTCACATAAACTGTTAACAGCACGGGCAACATTTCTGGCGGCGCCCTCTAATTGCTCACGACAGGCGGCATTATGTAAAGTGGGAGCTACGACCTTGGCGCATGCTACTAACTGGCTTGTGGCCAGAGCACATTGACTAGCCGCTCCTATGACACGATTACGTGATTCATCATCTTCACAACTGGCAGCAATGGATTTGGCACGCAATACCAAAGCAGCAGTAGTATTAGCCACAGCCTTGGCCAATCCCAAGAGCATGTCTTGTAAGTCACGATTTTCAGGTACCTCTTCTTCGGCAATGGTACTAAGCACATAAGTGGTGGCTTCACCCACACGACTAGCAGCATTGATAAGATTTTGTGGTGGTTCTTTGCTTTCTGGTTCGGCTGCTTTCAACAAATCACTAAAGGCAGTACATAAATTGCGAGCAGCTTCCAATAGTTTATCACCATTGGTATCGTCTTCCATTAGAGCCGCTATTAAACGTACTTCCTTTGTAACTTCAGGAATAGTTTGGGCGATTTGAGAAACCGAGGCCGAAATGGCTTCAGTATCTACCTCATCAGGTTGTTGAGTGGCGGTAATGATTTGTGCAGTGGCAGCACTCATGGTAGCCACATGACTAGTAACAGCTTGCTTGGAAGTATCGAGAGTATTTTCTCGCCATTCAATGGAACGTAAATCATTACCAAAATCTTGGATGGGAGCCTGAATATCAAAGTTTATATAATTTGTATTAAAACAACAACTACTTTTTACTAAAACTGCTAATGAGTTTGATTATGATTCTTACCTTAGTTCTTAGCTCTTCATCAGCACGAACTAATATTTCTTGACCGGCTGAGATGTAACTCAATAGAGCTCTTTGTGGTTCCGTCAGATTCACAGAACTAATACGTACTTCCTTAGACTAAAAAAAATAAAAAATAAAACAGTCAGTTGGTGAATTAATCATGAAATTCATGTTAACTTTGCTTTTAAGTATAATGAAAACCTACTCTGTGAAACTTTGAAATTTTGCCTTCATTTTATTAACAATTTGCAGCATTTAATTAGAGAATATTTAAAGATAGATTGTTAGTTAAAGGAATTATATTTTCAAAAATAGAATTTATGTAAAAAACTAATTGTAATCATTATAAAAAGTGTCGAAAGTAAAATACTAATGAGCAACTTAAAAAGAAAAATTAAAATTCTTAATGAAATGTATGCATAAATGAAAATAAAAAAGTGCCACTTACCGTGGGCGGTTGATGGGCATGGTTAACTTGCCCAACAAATGCGCCATATTGCACTGTTTGTAATTCGCCTTGAGTATACAATTTTTCGCCTAAAGAATATACGTAATAAATAAAAAATTGTTAAAATAAAAATAAAATATAAAAATTATAATCACAAAGCTACAAAAAAAGCACAAAATAAAACTTTACACTCATTTGAGAACCGTGTGTTCAATAACCAAATTACTGTTACAACTTATATTTTCAAAATGCAAATATTTAAATTAAAATATAAGTTTTAAAGACATAAAAAATCACTTATTTTGTTGAGTGATTTTCTATTAAAATAATGTCTAAAGAAAATTTCAAATATTCTGCACTTACCATCATCAGCTCTCATCATGCCAGGATGAGCCAACGATTCTGTGTTAATTTTTCCGATTTTATTCGTTTCATGTTGCAAAAACGTAGCTCTGTTAACGAAAAACGAAAATTTATGAATATTTTGAAAGCCTAAAGAGAGCTTTTGTGCTAAAACTTACTTGGAAGGTGCCACAGATTCTTCGACCATAGTTGATCCCTCATCACCCTCAATGCCAAAATGATCCTTGGTCTGTTTCTTTTTCAATATAATATCTATGTAGCCAGCAATCAACTGAACAATTTGTTCAGCTTCTGTGGTCTGCACCGAATAATACTGATTGGCATAATCACCAAAATCAAGTGTAAATGTATTGGGTGAAGCACCCCAACGTCTAACAGTGGTCAAAGGCCATGAAACTAAAATTTCCTTAGTACGTTCATCCAAACGTAAAACGGAATCTTTAGTTACACCCAATAGACGTGGTACTAGTTTATTTTTACCATTCATTTTTTCTTTGACCAAAAAGAAGGTTACACCATAAGTGGGCAGTTCGCGGGCGGTTTTGGTGTACAAGACCTTAGCATCAATTTCGGAGAGATCAACATGTTTTTTGTGTTCGGCAAAGATTTTCTTTTCGATACCTTTAACACGCACATATGATTGTGGTAAAAAGTCTTTTAAACTGTAAAAAGGTAAAGCGGTTAGATACTATCTAAAAGGTAAAATTGGGCCAATGAACTTACTCTAAGAATCCAGGCTTGTGTTTAGATTCATTGTGAGGACCAAATTGTATATGGGTCTGTATGCCAGCAAATTCACAAGCTAAAATAAAATATAACAAATAGGGAAATTAAATGTTAGGAAAATGATAAGTGTATGTTTAATTGCATTGATGTAATATTTAGTTTTATTTACCTTTTTCTTGCGTAACCGGATGTGTGCCATCCAAAATAGCATCACGTGCTTGAACATATAACAAATTCAGTTGTACGGGATCACGTGAATCAATATTTTGATCGGAAAAGAAAAATCGACGACGCAGCAGTACAGTTTCGGATTCGTCAATACCTTGTTCGCGCAAAGTTTTACCCACATCAACCCAGTTTACTAAAATAAATATTTAATGTTAATTTTAAATATTTTACAACTGTTCAAGGCTCAACTTACTTTCATCATCGGTTTTTAATTTTTTACGCAAACTTTCCATTTTGGTATCACGATCCTTTTCCATAATTTTTCGTCTCAAAGTCAAGGTTCCAAATTTATTATCGGGCAAATTTTCATTTTGCGATTCGGTATCTTCGCGTACCAAACCGTATTCGTCATGATTGGTAATACCGATTTTTGTGCAAATCACAATCATCAGTTGGGAGACTGGTTGTGAATCATCTACTAAAATGGTTTTAACAGCACCATCCAACATGCGAACTCTAAGAGTACGCAATTTACGACGATATTCCAGTGTATCCTGATTGTGTAAAATATAATAGCTCAAGGTGCGGCCATTTTCCATCCAAACACCTTGTTGAGTCTGTTCATCTGGCATAAAAAGGCCATATTCACTAGCTGTAAAGTAGGGGGCGAAGAAAACGATATAAATATTTTTTTATTTAATTATAATCAACATATTTTTTATAGAACTTTTAATAACAATTATTGATTTATTTTGTATGTGTTGATGTTATTGTTGTTGTTGTTTTATTATAAGTACTTACGTTGTCCCTGAACAGCTTCAGCAAATTTATCTCTGATTATTTTGCAAGCATCGAATATTGTTGTATTGGGATGAAATTGTATGGTTTTCGTTACACGTCCACCCTCCAATTGTATACGTAACGATAATGTTGACATTTTTATTTCTCTTCTTTAGTATTTGGTCGTCTTGGTTTTTTGCTTCTTCTAGTAATTTATCTAGTTCTTCTGGTTCGTCGTTAAATACTCTTTGAAAATATTCGTTGTATAGAAAAAGTAGCTTTGATGATGATGAAGATAATAATGAGAGTGGTAGTGTTGGTGGTGGTGGTTGTATTGGTCGTCTTGGTACTATAATAAATAATTCGAAGGCAGACGATTTTCTTGTTCTTCTTCCCTTTATAATAATAAAAGGCACTGCAAATAATAAAAGAGAAAAAAAAAAAGATGAAACGATTTTTTAAAAATAATTGAGAATACACTTGAAGAAAAAAGTTTTTTAGATAAAGTTTAAAAGTAATATCTAGGGAATTAGTTTGAAAAAATAAATTGTTAACAGCATTTCATTAAAGGTCTTTGAGGATATCTATATGTCTATATCCTATTAGATGGACTAATGAAGTTCTACTCCCTCTATAATATGTTATCCCTTTAAGTTATTTTATGGTAAAAGATTGATAGTTTTAACCTAGTTTTAGCAATTGTTCTTAATTTATATTTAACTAACTAAATATTTCTTTCAGTGTATATGCTGGAGAGAAAATATGATGTACTTAAAAAAAGCAAACGTTAATATGACACAGATTTTCTTTTTTGTGTGTGAGTTTTTCTTTTTTTTCAACTTTTCCATAAGCACTAGAATAAACATCGATTTCAAAACGGTTTTTTTCCAAGTATAATCATGCAGTAAATTGTATAGTGTGTAGAGGTTCAAGATTCCACCCTTAATGTGTGGAAACACAAGTGTAAGGCGACCGACTGCTACTACTACTGTATGTTTGCTAAACTCAGACATACATACACAAACAAACAATTGTAATGGTTGAATAGAATGAATAGTTGGGTAGCTTTATGCTGGCTGGGTGATGTATATTTTCCAATTTAATGGAGAAATAATGGACATAGATATATTCTCATTGAGAAAAAAAATCATAAAGAAATATGCAGTATAATAGTTCAACACCCTTGAACGTTTTCGGATTTATAGCAGAGGTAGGAACAAAGAGAAACAAACAAAATATATAAAAAAATACAAAAATTTTCTGGATTTAAATGTTTGTTGTTGCTTTAATATGTGGAACTATATTAAAAATTAAACACAAACAAAGAAAAAAATCGATATTTGACCAAAATTTTAAGCCGGTTTGAAGTTAAACAATTTCTTTATGTTTTCATTTAATAAATATTTTCTTTTTTTAATAATATGTACTATTAAAGCATAATAAAACTGTTATAGGTATAGATTTATAAGTAAAATAGGGTTGGAAAAAAATTGTCAGTAAAATCAATACTAACATTTTTCTTTTATAAAAGCTTAAAAATTTATTTAATAAATTTTTGTTTAATAACAATTAAGAATTTCAGTTTGTTGTTAATGGAGTTGTAGCTGTATTTAAAATATAATTACTTTTTCTTTTAAAATTTGCCATATTTTTCACTTTTACAATATTTTCTGTATTTTTTTTTTTATTTTTATAATTTATACAACTTTTTTTATATGTATTCTTTTTAGCACTTTGTTTGTGGAAGTTCTTTTTTTTGTTATTTTTTCCCAATTTATTATTATTGAAACATGTATTCACAGCTAACGCACCCAAATAATACTGAAATCCCTTTTAGTTAAGCTTAACTAACAAAGCGGTATAGTTTTTATGGATTGTAGAAAAAAACGAAAGATTCGTTTGAATCTGTGTTATTTGATTTTTATTTAGGGGATGCTGTATGTTTAGTACTAGATTTCTGTAAGAATTATATGTGCTAAAAACAACAAATCTGTGGTGTATGAAACTCTCTATAGGATTAGAGCATGCGCTCTTAAAACAAACTTTCCTCTTTACTCCCTTAAATAGAAATCAAAATTTAGTTTGACGAACAGTGTTGTTAAGGTTTAGGGTATGATTTAGAGTCAGAAATGTATTATTATATTTGTTAACTTTTCACATTATAACTGTAATATTTTTAGAGAAAAACGCTAAATTTGCATTATTATAACAGTATCTATATTCTCCAAAGGAGCAAATCTCTACACAATGAAAGTTAAAGGTAATTTTGTAAGTTGCCAGATTTAAAAGAAATGTGTGCAGAATTGTCCGTTAGTTAGCAAAGTAATTTTAAAGTTTTAAATTAAGGACTTTTTCGTTCGTATTGTAATATTTACCGATTTCTCCTTTGTCTTGAGGTTAATATTTGAAAAAATTATTTTAAAGAAAAACCATTGAGTTTTGTAATAGGATATCTATCAAATTCTGTCTGTGTTCTATTTATATATAGATGGACTAATGTCTCAACTGAATATTTCAATATTCTTGCTTTGTATGTGTAAAACAAGATGGTTTATTAAATGCTTTATTTCTTTAATTAAGGTTTAATGACATTTTTTTTAATGTGTACACTAGTGTGTCCCTAATCCCTATTTCATCATAAAGCAAAAATTGCAGTTTTAGCTTAATTAATACATTTAAAACAGTTTCTTTATGGTTCGCCAAACTTTAGATTCAATTACAGGAACTTTTTAAGTTGTTAGAAAGTAAAGAAAGAAATTTGTTTTGCTTACTGCAACCAAAAAAAATTAGTTGATTCAAAAATCTGATTTCATATAAAATCGGTTTTTGCAACTGAAGCTTTTTCTTTAGTGTCGAGATTCATACTAAAAGTTGTTTCGAATTTAATTAGAGAAATTCTGTTTTAATATATGATAGTTAAGAAAAATTCGGATCTCGTTGCTGTTTTCAGTTTAATGTGTCCGGCAAACTTTAGAAAACCTTTAAACAAACTCAATGTCGAATATATAAAGTTAAATAAATCACTGTCGAATTCAGAAAATTAGTTTTATAAAGGAAGTTTGAAAGCATCGTTTGTGGAAGAATTTTATTTTAGATACAGTTTGAAAGCCATTGGTTTAATTTTCTTTAATCAGCTGTTTAAATAACTTCTTATAATCGTTACGTCTTAAAACAAAGCTTCTTTTAGAACCATTTTCATTGGCTTCTCCCTAATAAAGAAGGTCTTAAATTTCACAATCTACTCCTTCACATATGATAATTTAACGAGCCAAAGGAATTCTCGTCTTTACTGGCCTCATCATTATTGTTTTGACATTTTACTTTATTAACCCCCCAAAGTAAAACAATGTTTTGTTTACATATCGAATCAAACAACAACAAGTGTTATTGATTTGACGAAAACAAAGAACGAATATTAAATAAAAGCAAAAAAAAACAAGAACCATAAAGCTGACCATTTAATGGTTTTGATTTCGAAAGTAATACCAACATTATGTGTGTGCGTGTATTTTTGCTTAAAAGAACAAAAATATAGTAATAACAAAGCAACAAACTCTTACACATACAATTGTATCGTGTTACAGTTTTGTTTTCTTTTCTGAAAATCATGTTTATGTTGGTTATACAATTTGACAGATACATATATAAACATTTTTCTCCCACTACTTTATTGTATATCTCTTTTAATCTTAAAAGTGACATCACCCGTTATTCGAATAAAAACAACAATTTGACTTGATGATGACCCACTTTGCATAAATATCATTAGAAGAGATTGAGTAAATTGAGATTGAGAGGTAATAAGAGAGACAGTGTTAATATAAAATCAGTTAAAATAATGCGTTTAATTTAATTTGATACTAATTTAAATTCGTATGATCAGAAACTTGAAAAAAAAACTCTTTACATTCTGAATATAACTTGAGTATTATCATAGAATTAATTAAACTGCGCATTTTAAGGAACAATCCTCTACATATTTCGTGATCAGATTATAAGGAAAGTTTTTGGTAAAGATTTTAGATTATTAGAAAAATTTAGCCGGGATTTAAATTTAACTTAAATTTATGAATATTTACTCTTCAGGGGGTAACATTTAGTAAAAATTTTAAAAGCTGTGTTGGGTAAAGGAATTTTTCGCGAATACATATTTCTATGATTAGATCTATTGATTTAAACAGAAAATTAACTATTTCAAATATTAACTTTCTAATCTTCTTAAATCTTTCAAGAAAATACATATTTAAATAATAATATTATAATAAAGAATAATTAATTTACTTACATTTAAAATTATTAAAGCTCTTGAACGCATCTTTATAAATTTGTTTGTTAAAAACAATAACAACAACAATAAAAAGGCACATTCTGGCAAAGGCAGAAAGCAAAGGCATCTCAATTGGATTTGATTATTTATGTAATATAAATAATCTTTTTCCAGAGCAGAACTCTGATTCAAGAAAGAACTCTTATCAAACAAAACGATATTCGAATTTAATTTTTCAAATCGTCGAAATCGTATTTGAAAGTTTTGAGTTTTCTGAATCTATGTTACCGCGACAAGGAGTTTTTTGTATAGGCACGTTTGTGGTGATGACGTTGAAATACGTTTTCAAACTTAAACGTAAGAAAGTTTAAAAAACGTTTTCATAATTATAACAATTGGTTTTTAACAAAAGATTTAAACAAAAACGAAGCAATTTAACAGTTAAAATTTTAATTGTAACAATTTGTTTTTCTTTTTATAAACTATATAACGAGTTGAGTTTTTTTAATTGTCCATTTTATAAATCTGACAATTTTAGGCTGCAACGGTGTGTTTTTTAATAAGGCACTCAAAACTTAAAATGTGTTTTTAAAATGTTCAAAATATTGTTCATTGTAAAACAAAACGAAAATTTATAAATAATTTTAACAGTTTTTCTTTTAAAAAAAAGGCACTTGTTTTTAAAAAGCTATAGTTAGTTAAATCGTATACATAAGGCACTTTATGTTTTTCTTCTTAAAATTTTCACGTTTTTTTATTAAAAAATTATAAAACTTTGTGTGTGTTTGGCAAATATGTTCACATGTTGAAGTTGACTTTGGTATTAAAAGGAACACTTGACTTTGAAATTAACTTTAGTTATTTTGAATTTGAAATTCATTATGTACTGCTGCGAAGTCCTTTAACTATTTTGGATGGCTGATGTCTTTTCCGATCTGTGGTTAGGCCTAGAATGATGTGTTTTGCTGGCGACACATCGTGGGTTTCTGTCTGAAAAATTCAATCATCCTACTAGTCCTCAGTAAATGACGACGTTAAACAGTCGTCTAGTATGGCCATAACTGCGCATGCTCCACATTAATACGAAATAATTCATACAACTATGTATGCAATATGATGTTGAGTATTACCACATAAAGATCCTGTAAAAGGAAGCTGTACAATTGGAGTGGTAAATGAGCATCACTCGTTTGTCCTTTGCTTGGTGTATTGAGATCTCAATGTTAGTTTTTGTGTAAAATAAACTAAGTTGTTTGTTACAAATAATATATGTGAAATATGTATATTTCTATATATTATAGTAACTTTAAGCAAAAACAAGTGTTTGTTTTTAAAAAAAAAAAGACAAACAGTAGCAGCCCTTAGTTTGAAATTACCAGAATAAGGGTGCTCAACTCAACTGTTAGTTTGGTTAACACTCAAAAGGGGAAATGATAATTTCGCCCATTGCTGCTGACAACTCATTTAAGGAAAATGAGTGTCTTTGTTGGATTTTGAGTGGTTATTTAGAAATATTGCTAAATCTTATATTGCAGTAATGCTGACATCATAAACATCATTATCATCATCATCTTCACCAACCATCACGTGAAAATCTCCAACTGTGTTACATTGTGTTGCCAAGTGTGCGGAGTCGAGTAGCAACTTCTTGAACAGTAGAATTATATAACCGTAGAAAATTCTTGTTAGAATTTTCCTTTTGCTCTTTTGTTTTTTGTTTTATTCATTAATATGCAAAAAAAAATTATTGTGTAAAAAACAAACAACCAAACTACAACTTAGTGTTTTTTTCTAAACAAAAATCTATTTTTTAGAGGGAGTGGAAAATGCGTCATGATGTTAAAGGAAAACTGCAAACAGCAGGACTTTTTAGCTTAACACGTTTAATCTATTAATACCCTCTCGCTAGCGCTCGATTGTCATCTAATTAGTTTGTCAATTTTCAATTTCAAAACATGAAAATACACTTTTTTTAAATCGAAATGACGAGCTATTCTTTTTTAACATAATGATCCATTGATTAATGAAATCTTGTCGTTATTTCGTTTTCTTATAAGACTAAAACTAAAATAAAAAATTAAATTTGATGGCAAACTGGGAAGAATAATATTTTTGCAATATTAAACTAAACAAAAATATATTGTTAGCAACATGGGAAGCAGCAGAAGTTTTAAAAATTAATTTAGATGGATAACATCATTTCAAACAAGAGACAATCAAATCATTATTGAAAATTGAGAGTTGGAGGTAAATTAACAATTTAAATTCAAATTTCTACTATAAAAAAAAATAGATTAAAAAAGATTTTCGATCAATTTCCCGGAAAATTGTACACAAAAAAAGTTTAACTTTTTAGTTTGAAATGCGAAATACGATTTTTTGTGTTGAAATTAAAATACAGGAAGAGATACAATAAAAGTTAATACTACCAACTAATCAGTCGATTGTTACAACTGATACTATGTGTAGAATTATACAGGCCATCAAAAAAAGTCGTAACCCTGACACCAAGTTAGACGTTTCTAAAGGATTGAGTTGCGCTGTATCCGAATCCGACTCAGATTTTCTCAATCACATCTGGGATTTGAGATACCGTGTCCTGAAATTTGTGACGCTATAGCAGCGCCAAGACAATTTCATTTATAAAATATTGTATTACATTTGGAAGTTCATTCTGCCAAAGGCTTAATATCTGACATATCTTCCTTATTATTGGAGATAAACACTGTATTCAGAAAATGAAAAAAATGCAGGAAAATAAGTGTAAAATAGGCAAAACTATGCAGATATGCACAAAATTTTTTCCAAAATTGTCTAAATCTTCTGAAGTTTAAAAATAACCTTAATTTTCGACTATGCCGAATCTTACATACATAAATACCCAACATCCAACTTCGTCACTATCGATATTAATATGACTCTGGGATAATTTTTGGAAGTTGGCCATCTATGAAGTGTGTCAGAAAAAACTAACACACACATTTCTAGTCAAAACTTATCCCTGGTCTACCAAATTATAATTATTTTGATAACGTTAGCTTTCAAACGTATATCAGATATCCAGGCTAATTATAAGCAATATTTCCCTGGGAGTTTATTCCCTTTTGCATGCTTTATGTATTGGAGATGGAACAAATTCCCCAGGAGTCTATTATTCAGAATAGACTTGATTATCTTTTCTAAATCATTAATTTCCAACTGTTGTTTCGGTCAAAATGGATTCCGAGAAAAATGTACGAGAAAAAATAACAAAAACTTAAAAAGAAAAAAAATCAATCTAATTTTATTAAAATCGCAAAAGATCTGATCTGAATGAAAATCTGGATCGGCAAGAAAAAAGGTCTAGCAGATATTGATAAGGCAAAATAAGTCGAACAACTGTTTCGAAGACTTCCATTAGAAAAGCAACTAGTAAAGTTAAATGCTCATAGCCAAAACTAATGGATTGAGGTCGTATAAAGTTCACAACTTTCGCATCAAGATTTTTATGCAGCTGATAGACGAGGTAATGTTCAAGAAAAATCCCCAAGATGTTTCTTGTCTGGGAAGCCATTATCCATAGAGGAGAGATCTCAGAGTGTCTTCATATTTCATATTTCAAAAGGCTCTTAAGTGGTATTCAATCAAAAAATTACAATTTTTTACCACGACAAGCTAATCTACAAAACTGTCTGGCACTTTGTACTGTATTGAACTCTTGTTTTAGTGGACCACTGAAATCTCTTAGTGATTTGCTATGAGAGGAGGTTATATAGGGGTTTGATCAATTACCAAACGATCCTTAAGAGAATTGAGTACAGAGGTTTCGGTTAATAAAAAACTAGTTTATGTCAAATTTCATAATTTGTTTATATTTATTATATAAGCCGGTTATAAACCTTAGTTATATATTCTAGATCGCTTTTGTCTACTTTCAATACCAAAGAAACTGGATCAAGAGAAAATATTTGTGGAAAATGTCAGCCTTTTAGGACCTAACGTATTCCTGACTCAAAAGGTAGTAGTTACTAAAAACAAAAAACTGTTTCTACAACTAGAACCACCGCTCAGGACCGTATAAAAACGGTAAGGTCGTTTGAAAAAAAGTTTTTAATATATCATTTTATTCTAAATTTAGAAATAATAGGTGTTTGAATCTTTGTCAAATAAAAGAAACATTGGTCCTTTGTTTGAGTCGAAAAATTTATAAAAGAAAAAGCTGTAACTTCTGACACAGCTAGAAGGTACTTTAGACATTAATCAAAAATATAATTGAAAAAACATAGTTTATTTATCAGTTTCATTTAAAAACCCATATTCTAAATAAACATCTTAATTTTACACAAATTAAAAGCATTTGTTATTTTTGGCATCTAACAAGATTTCTTTATTTAATATTTAGTTAAATACATTTTACTTACTGAAAACAAACTCAGTACTTTTTGATGCAAAATAAAAAGGATGGAGGATGAGCAGAGAAATATTGGATGGTATAGATAGAAACATTTATCAAGCCAACAACACACTCATAAAGAATCAGCCATAAAATCTCAATTGGCGCGACAATGTGGCGCCAATCTGCCATTTTGTTTTTTCTATGTAATTCGGTAAATAAACTTGTATGTATGTTCCTTCAAAGGATATACACACACACATATGTACATATGTACAAAAGTATTTACTAAAAACATTTATATATAACTATGTACAATGTACATACTTGACAGTTGCAAAAATAAAAAACGAAAGAAGAAACCAATAATAAAAATGTAAGCGCCATTTTGGAGACTTTAGAAAATGAATAAACATTTTGAACCATTATTATATTGTTATTGTTGTTGTTAAATGAGGGAATGTGTGGGAAAAATATTAATAATTGTCAACGTATCACATTCATCCTGTATTTTATTCCGTTTAAAAAATTTAATTAATTTTAACCACAAATCCATGCACAAGTGACCATTATTTTAAAATGTATATTTTTCTAATTTATTTATAATTAAACTTAAAAAATTAATTTAAAAAATTTTACTCACCTTTTCACTTAGTGTTGTATTGATGTCCTTATAGGAAAATCCAAAAATAAATGTGTATATTTTTGTAATTCAAAATGCTTAGAGCATTTGTCGTTCGTTATAGAAAAAGTTGGTTTGTGTTTAAAAATATTGCGGTCTGTAATTAAAAAAAAAATAGAAAAAAATATTAGTACTTGTGTGAAAATTAATAATCAATAAAACTTATTAATAGGAAAATTTTTACTTTCAGATATTAAATTTCTATTGGAAAATTTTTCACAATTTATGTTTGTTGAACCACAAAAACGAACTCAACTTTCTATGAAATGAAAATGTTGACTAAACTAAACTAAGTTCAATAATCGTATAACAAATTCTAACCGCAACAGTAGCTATGTAAATCTGACAGAAATTAAATGTAGATCGCGATCATCATACTTTCTATCTCGCTCCCACACACTTTTTCCTAAATTTATCTAAAATTACTAGGTAAATTTTAGTTTACTTATATATCTTTACTTATTTATTTAAATTTGTCAAAAAGACATGTTTAGCATCAACATCCTTTTGTATTCGAGTAAAACTGATTATACAGAGATCTTTATCAATAAATAACAATGAAGAATATAACGCATTGATATATTTCCTTCCCACATTATTCTTTTCTCTTTTATTTATTAATTAAAATTGTTATTACGATAATAATAGAAAGAATTTAATATTTCGGAGAATTTATCATGTTAACAGTAAAATAGGTTCCGGTATAAAAATGATACAAAATGACGAAAAAGAAATGTAATGATTTTTGGAATAGGATCATAGACTAGATTATAAACTATAGTCCAGACTATAGACTAGACTATAGACTAGACTATAGACTAGACTATAGACTAGACTATAGACTAGACTATAGACTAGACCATAGACTAGACTATAGACTAGACTATAGACTAGACTATAGACTAGACTATAGACTAGACTATAGACTAGACTATCGACTAGACTATAGACTAGACTATAGACTAGGCTATAGACTAGACTATAGACTAGACTATAGACTAGACTATAGACTAGACTATAGACTAGACTATAGAATATAGAGAATTTATCATGTTAACAGTAAATAGGTTCCGGTATAAAAATGATACAAAATGACGAAAAAGAAATGTAATGATTTTTGGAATAGGATCATAGACTAGATTATAAACTATAGTCCAGACTATAGACTAGACTATAGACTAGACTATAGACTAGACTATAGACTAGACTATAGACTAGACTATAGACTAGACTATAGACTAGACTATAGACTAGACTATAGACTAGACTATAGACTAGACTATAGACTAGACTATCGACTAGACTATAGACTAGACTATAGACTAGGCTAGACTAGACTAGACTAGACTATAGACTAGACTATAGACTAGACTATAGACTAGGCTATAGACTAGACTATAGACTAGACTATAGACTAGACTATAGACTAGACTATAGACTAGACTATAGACTAGGCCTATAGACTAGACTATAGACTAGACTATAGACTAGACATAGAACTAGACTATAGACTAGACTATAGACTAGACTATAGACTAGACTATAGACTAGACTATAGACTAGACTATAGACTAGACTATAGACTAGACTATAGACTAGAGCTATAGACTAGACTATAGACTAGACTATTAGACTAGCTATAGACTAGACTATAGACTAGACTATAGACTAGGGACTATAGACTAGACTATAGACTAGACTATAGACTAGACTATAGACTAGACTATAGACTAGACTATAGACTAGACTATAGACTAGACTATAGACTAGACTATAGACTAGACTATAGACTAGACTATAGACTAGACTATAGACTAGACTATAGACTAGACTATAGACTAGACTATAGACTAGACTATAGACTAGACTATAGACTAGACTATAGACTAGACTATAGACTAGACTATAGAATAGACTATAGACTATAGACTAGACTATAGACTAGACTATAGACTAGACTATAGACTAGACTATAGACTAGACTATAGACTAGACTATAGACTAGACTATAGACTAGACTATAGACTAGACTATAGACTAGACTATAGACTAGACTATAGACTAGACTATAGACTAGACTATAGACTAGACTATAGACTAGACTATAGACTAGACTATAGACTAGACTATAGACTAGACTATAGACTAGACTATAGACTAGACTATAGACTAGGCTACAGACTAGGCTACAGACTAGGCTACAGACTAGACTATAGACTAGACTATATACTAGACTATAGACTAGACTATAGACTAGACTATAGACTAGACTATAGACTAGACTATAGACTAGACTATAGACTAGACTATAGACTAGACTATAGACTAGACTATAGACTAGACTATAGACTAGACTATAGACTAGACTATAGACTAGACTATAGATTAGACTATAGACTAGACTATAGATTAGACTATAGATTAGACTATAGACTAGACTATAGTATAAGTTTATATAATATAGTATATTTTAACTTTGGGATTGGAGTTAGAAACTATCGTTTTGATAACAAATATTTGGAACTTAAAATACTCATTTATCGTACTTTTGATAACGTTACAGATTGAGTTAAACAAATGTTCAAGGTTAGCATAATATTAATCTTAATAGTTTCTAACTCACTTCTTAAGAAATGCGTAGAAAATGTCTAACTTATTGAAAACTTTTTATTGATATTTATGTCTTCCAGATAAGAAGGCATTTAGGCACCAAAGAACGGTAATATAACGGTATTTATATACATACATTTGAATAGAATAATATTGAAATGGATATTGAAAAAGAAAAAAAACGCACAAACCACATTAAACTTCTATTTCCACTTCTATGTACTTTTATAAATTTTTATATCCATACGCGTATAAAAATATATAATAAATAACAAAACATGTATTACAAAAAAATTATAAAAAAATAAATAGAAAACCAGAATGTGGCCTTGCTACCAAATAAGTGCAAGAATGTGGTACATCACCATCATTACCAATCATCACCAAAACAACAAAATAACCAATGAAGAATTAACTATATTGGATATGGGATGCAGTCTTATAAGAAGAAACAAATATCGAACTAAGTAGGTATATACTTAGTAGGATGGTTAGTTGTTAGTTTGGTTAGTTGGTGGGTTCCTCTTATTTGTAATATGTTTCTTTTTAGTTGCTAGCAATGATATTTTATCATCTAATGCTTTTAGTTGGTTCCTTATTATTTTCTATTACAAATAAGTTTATTTGTTTGTTTGATTTTATAGTTGTTTGCTTGTTTTAACTCAAACTACAACCAAAACATAAACCACCAACTTAAAACCAAACAGTCAAACAGTCAAACACAAATGAAAGATATTATAAACTCAAAGAAAACAGAAAGAATGCGGTACAAATCCTTAATTAGTAAAAACTAAGAACAACAATAACAACAACTTAAGTAGTCATGCTGATTGACACAAACATCATATTCCATCTATCTATAACGCGTTTTATATAAACATACTTTAAACATAAATATCTGTATCTTCTCTATGTGTTTGTCGAGTTTTTTTATCTGTGCCTGAGTATGTGCGGCACTAAAATAGGCGACTAACTGACTAGGAGACAATAAAATACGTATTTCTCTTTAACAAAATAGTAAATAAAATAGTTTTGTACAAAAATGTATTAAAACTAAAATAGTAGTAGAGATCATAAACTTAAATATGGTAACATTTTTTAATGTAGACTAACACATGCGAATCAGGGATTCTAAGCGGGAAAATTTTCCGGAAATGTTATTTGAGACTGAGCACAAATTCTGTCTGTCTGTCTGTCTTTGAAATCCTTCCCAGCAAAAAGCTTAAATTTTTGGTAATGACCTTTTGTTATTTAATACATTACATGGTAATGTGTGGTCATAATCATGCACATTATTTAATTTAGCTGAATAGTAAATTACGGGTAAAGAGCGAATAAATTTGTCTAGGGCGTATATTTAACAAACTTGAGGTTTGAATTTGAAACCCTGCTGAATACCAACAAATCCTGAAAATAAATTAAAGTCTGGGTTCAAATCCCGGATAATAGACTACTCCGCACACGGGTGTAAAATCCGTAAAGGCCTGGATCAAAGCTAAGCTTTTGAAACTTTGTCTTAGGTGAGGACCACGTAATCCATACATTCAGTTTAAGATACTAATCCCAAAACTAATGAGAGAATTATGAGAGTAAATGGTCCATTGTAATGTAGATTATGAACTCTGTTGTTTTGAAAAACAATGATCTTGATCCATGCCTGCATTACTTAGGTCTACTACACCGATCATGTTCACCAGTAATGTTTTCAGGGAAATAGTTTTGGGATTACCTTAAGTAATCATATACTCCGATAATTTCTGCAGGCTTATCTAGTAAGTAAAGTTCTTGCTGGCTTAAATAACCACATATTTGACCAACTTTTTATAGCTAGTGTATGCTAATATATATTCGGATGAGACCAACTATATTTTGTTTACATGTTTATATTTTAAAAAAAAGGTCTTTGAAGTCTGGGCTTTAAAATCTTAAATCTCCACTTTAACTCTTTTAAATTCTATTGAGATTTCAGATTGCTTTCGAATTACAAACTTAAGACCCTTAAGATTAAAAATGTGCCCAAATCAAAGATTTAACCAAAAGTAAATGTTAAATTTCCAAATTCAAATCTCTTCCCTTACTAACTAGTAGAAAATCATAGAAAATCGTCAAGAACAAAATTCCCATATGGTAATGAAATAGAAAATAAATTAATTATAAATAAAACAAATAAAAAACATAAACAGAAGCAAACAAAAAATTAAAAACATTTGCCAATTTTTTTTCTGTTTTTCATCGTCATCATCATCATTATTAAAATGTGTGATGTGAAATTAAAATTTTCTTTCTATGGCCTCACCTTCACCCAATCTATTATACACATTTCTATACAACTAGAGAAAAATGAACAAAAATACATAATACCACAAAAAACAAAACATTTATTGCCACTTTAATGATAATCATCTTCATCATCTTTTCTGATGTTGTTAATAATGATGATGATCTTGTAGTAGATGCTGGCTGGCGCTGATCTATGAATCTTTATAC